GATAGAGCAGGGTTTAGAGCTGTTGTGCATAGGGTCGCTATGAGTCGGAAACGACTCGATGGCACATAACAACAACAACAACAACTGTGTGTCATAGGCAATTTTTGCAGAAACTGATAAATGTGAGGTCACAACTCCTTCAATTAAATTTTATCAGAACATTCATGAGTCTTATCCAACACTGCATTTTTACTTACAAGAAATAATAGATTTCTAGGGTAAAGACTATCATGTTTCAGAGAAAGAAAATTATTTTAAAATTAAAATAGAGAATATTTTTCCCTACACATGACTTTCAGTCATCAGCTTCTGTTATGATATCTATTAAAATCATTTTCTGGAATACTATTACAATGACGCCTTTTATGATTTTATAGCATATCCTTCATTTTATGTACTCCCAACTGGACCTGTTTTCTATTAAAACCTGAATAGTTTGGAAGTGGTTTGTTTGAAATGAAATAGTCATTATACTAGAGAGGGATGAAGAGTGATGGAAAAGTCTAGAAATTCTCTAACTGCATATTTTCTTCCCTCGCTGCATATTTAAATGATTTCTACAATGATTTACTAAAGGTTCTACTTCATGAAAACGCTTGCTGGAAATGATGGAAGAGTTTGGTGTTATATTTGGAAGTTCTGATTTGGATCTCCAAAGGTCTTGGAGCAGCTGAAACATCTGAACAAGGAGTGTTCACAAGGGGAGGGATTGATCAGGAATAATGCTGAGAAAATAAAAAAAGAAAACTTTCCCTAATAGGTTGTGGGGTCACAGGTGATGAAGTGATGAATAAGTCAAGAAAGTTTTCTCCATTGATGAGTCTATTTATTTCTGAGATAAGGTGATTTTTGTAAAGATACAAGTTCAGCAATTTCCACATTTTGAATAACTTTCCCGAAATACTGACTTCATGTTGCGGTCTCATTTCTAGGATTCAATATATAGAATATCCTAGAGAATTCCGTATGAGTTTATTTCTCTCTCTCTCTCCACTCCCTAGACCCAGCTCCATAATCAGCAGATCTGTGATTCCTAGTATAGTAGCTGCTTACTTCAAGTAGCTATTTAAACTTTAATTACTAAAATGAAATAAAATATAAAATTCCGGGGGAGCTCTGGTGGCCTAGTGGCAAGAAGCTGCACTGCAATCCCAGAGGAGCACGGTTCGAATCCACCAGATGCTCTGCCGGGGAAAGGAGGGACAATCTCCTCCTGTACCAGTCAGATCTGATTTGACGGTACACGCACACAGACAAATAATAAAATTAAAAAAATTAAAAAAAAAATATAAAATTCCATTTTAATCAAATAGCCACACAAGACAGTGCCCAGAGGGAACATTTCCATCTTCACAGGAAATACTGCTGGAGAATGCGGCCACCAGACTCTCAAGTCCCAACTGTTAGCATACTGACTGCTTCCTTTATCTCCGTATCCCTGATGCCTAGCAGATGCCTGACAGTTTATAAAAGTGTAATAAATATTCACTGCACAAATGAATAATATAAAGATTAAAGTAATAAAAAAATTAGTAGCTGCTGTGGGTATATGTAATCTACTACTTTAGGAGAATACAAGGAACCAGGATTTCCATAGCATTTTCTGTGACTTGTACTAGACTGGAATTAAGTCCTCAAAATATAAATCTCAACTGGTTTCACCACACAAAAAGCTCTGTGGCCTTGCACAAGTTACAGAATGTCTTTAAAGCTTCTGAAAATTCTCATCTCCCTCAGTCCAAAGGTCTCTAAGACCCTCACACAGGCAGTGTCTTCCCTCATGTCTTCTCTGACCTTATCTCCCATGATTCTCTAAGTCCCTTGCTCTGCCCCACCCACCATGGCTTCTGCATAGTCTTTTAAACACATCAAGCCACCTTCTTGTCAAGGCCTTTGTCCCTGCTATTGAGGGAATCCTTCGCATTGTCCACTGATTCCTTTCTCTGAGATAAGGGCTTTTCATGTATAAAATAAATATTTGTTGAGTGTTCAAGTTAGAAGACAGGAAAATCCTATTGCTTGAAAGAAGTTTGGCTTCTTAGGATAGCAGATGAAGGAAAATGCCATTTAAAATACACTTAATTTCCAAATTAGGTGAACACTGTCCAACCATCTGTAATACAATCCTCTCCCCATAGAAAATAATAAAGTAAGTTATGTTTAAAAAAAAACCAACCCAACCCAAAACAGAAGAGAGTTAAGTAACTGAGTTGCTGCCTCTATAATTGAGCTGGATGAGCCAAAATCACCTTTGTTCCAAAAACACACTAAAAATAACTGCAGGATTTTGAAAGTGGGTGAGAGCTATATGGAACAGGAGTTATAAAAGGCCTGAAGTCAGGTTGTTTTTCTGTCATTTAAAAATATTTCTTTACCCTTTCTGGGCTTTGTGACTGACCCAAACCAAACCCACTGGCATCGAGTTGATCCCGCTCATAGTGACTCTTACTGGCTTTTCAGAGGCTGTAAATCTTTATGGAAGGAGACTGTCCATCTTTCTCTCAAGGGGTAGCTGGTGGATTTGAACTACTGTCCTTTTGGTTAGCAGCTCAACGCATGATACACTATGTAACTGGAGCTCTTCCTGATAGCTTAGTCCACAGCTAACCCAACTGTCTCTGGCAGTTCAAATCCACTAGCAGTTCCATGGGAGAAAGATGGGCTCTTTCCTCCCATCTCGAGTTATAGCCTCAGGTGACAAGCAGTGAGAATGAGAATAAGTATTACAGTGTCTGGCAGGAAAAATACTGCTGTTTGTGAAGTGGGTTGCAATCTGAACAGCTATGGTTCAGCTATGGTATGCTGAACCAATTTTTCCTCTCCAAGGACTGGTTCCTCCTCACAACAAGTCCAAAATATGTTAGACGTAGCCTCAGAATCCTTGCCTCCAAGGAGCAGCCCGGTTTAACCCTCTCCAGGCTAGGCTGAATCTCTTTGTTTTCTTAGCAGTCCCTGAGTACACTCAATACTCTTCTCCAGCACCACAGCTCAAAGGCATCAATTCTCCTTCTACCCTCCCTAGTCATCGTCCAACTCTCTGACGCATAACAAGTGATTACAAAGACCATGGCCTGTAATTTCAAACTTACGTTAAAAAAAAAAAAAGCTAAATAGTCACAGTAGTTACGGAAACCATGGAACCGATGGGCACAGATGTTGGGCTAGCTGCTGTCAAGGTGGTCATCCACTCTGGATGACTTACACATAAAGGAATCAGATCATTCCACTGGCTAATTTTCTGCAAGACTTCCAGCCTTTCCTCCTCAGCATCACAGCAAGAAACAAGGATGGGCAATCTCCTCCCATGCAATTTATTGCCTCTGCAAACCTGCTGGAGGGTCAGCTAGGAATTGACTCCAACTCAACTGCAAACAACGGAAGCACCAAACAAAGGGTGATGGCTGTACACGAGGAACACTTGCTGGGAACAGAAGCAGGGTTTTCTGTCTCACTGTAGCTGTTGTTAGGTACCCTCAAGTTCCCCTCTTCAAGCCCACCAATGCAGTAACTGTCAATCCACTTCACTAAAGATTTTCTTTTTTTTCTCTGATCCTCTCCTTTTCTAAGCCTGATGTCCTTCTCCAGGGACTGGATCCTTCTGATAATGTTCCAAAGTATGTCAGACCAAATCTCATCATCCTTGCTTCCAAGGTGGAGAGTTCTCTACTCAGCTGACCATATACCCACATTTTGACACAGTTATCTATTTTTCCATGGTGCACAGGAGTCGTCTAGCCTTCAGCCTTTTATAAAGCCATTTTGAAAGAACGACAACAACAAAAAGTTTTCATTGGAATTCCTTGTTATACCCATTTAAGAGTATGGCTTATTGCTGGTAACCACATAATAAAATAGACTATTAGCAAGACTCAAGTTCACAGTAGAGAAAGAACCTTGCCAATCTGCTGCATGGGGCCCACTCTACTTCCTCTCCCTGAGGCTGAGGGGTCTGTTTCTTTCATCTTCTGGTTGCTTAACAGTTGGACCTGAGAAAGGATGCCAAAGACATGGAATTCCCCCCCTCCCATACTCATTCGTCTGTCTCCTCCAGTCCCCAGGAGTTCTCTGCTCACTTTCTCTTTGCTTCTTCTTTCCTTAGCTTTTCTCTGGTTTCCTTCATTTTGATTTATATCGTTGAATTTAAGGAATCCTGTGAGTTTAAAAGTCATTTGCTTGCACTTTGACACAAGGATGCAGAGACTGTGGGAAACTTTTAGCTATATTAAAAAAAGTGTAACAGCTAAACACGTCTTGTTGTCCCAAGCACTTACTCACTGCTGAATAACTGTCAGTGGCTACCTCACTGACGTTTCGTCCCCAGAGATGTAGCTCACTCTGTCGGC